ATGATGTTCGTTCATCCTACCTTTCTCTTTCATCCTTTGAATGAGCTAATTAGCAAAGAAATAAAAAGGGTAAGAAAATACCTTTCCAATGATACCTCACAAGTCTAAATCGGAAGAGTTTAGGTTCAGTTATTCAAGTTTTCCTTATACCAATCTTTGAAAAAAGTTAAAAAAACAGCATCAAAAATCTCATTATTACGATTCCGTTCAAAATTTATTTATATATTTTTTGAATATTTTTATGTAAATTTTTTAAGTTTAAACCGTTTTGTTATTTGAGGGGATTTTTTCAAAAAACATCTTTAAGAAACTATTTTTATTCATAAAAGACTCCATTTTTGGAGATATTTTCAAATCAGTCAAGCTCGCTTAAATCTTAATATTTATCCGAAATATTTTGGTGGACGTCTTAAAATAAAATAAATTTTATAATTCCAATGGAAAAACAGTACCGATTTTTTTCGTATGGGGGAGTGATGTAGTCGAATATACATACATACATAACAAGAAAATATTTTCTGGACTAATGGGTTCAAGTTTCGTCTTGTTCTCATGGTCCAAGACAGAGATACAAATATCGAGGTAAACATGTTTGTGTCTGTTCTCAGCTAGGAGGGCTCAGGAGTGGTAATCACAGTTATGAACATATTCATAATAGCAAACTTTAATGTTGAAGTAAATCTTTTTGGCAGTAAAGTTAAATAAGTATTGTTTGCAATCGGTAGATGAAGAGTTTTCGGTCAAAATTTTTACTGTAAGATAAGATTTCAACTGAATTTCACCTACGAAAAATTAAGGATAATGAAGTTATCTTTTGAATCGTTCCATAGAAAGTTTTTATTTTTAACTCAAATCACTATGATGACAGAATAGGAATTTATTGAGAAATTGGATGCGTCAAGACTTTTGCGATAAAACTTGTCCAAGAGCACAGTGAAATAAATGGTAAACAATGGGTCCACTTGTCAAATAAGGTTAAATTGACTACACAAAAAAAAGTAACATGATTTTTTTCAAGCAGCGTAATTTTCGGGGTTTTCATTTTAGCGATTTGAAAACTTTGAACAGAAAAAGTATTTTATAAAGCATTTTCACATTATCATAGTTTACGGCTCATTCGTAATTCATAAACAAATCAAGTTATTTTACCACGTAAAATTTGTCAGTAAATGCGAAATTCGCTAAAATTCAACCAGTTTCAAAAATTTGCTATCATAATTTAAAATTTTTTAATCAGATTTTTTAGAAAAGTTTTGGGCATGAATTTTTATAGCCAATTAGGGCCGTTTTCTCAAGTAACCTGTAACTTTAAAGCTCACATTATATTTAAAGGTTGCATTAAAATTTAGGATTGTGTCTAAAGTAAAGCATTTTATTATCGATTTTATATTGCTTTACAGCAAAGAAACATACATACGTGAAAAATCAATAATAGAAATGCTTAACTTTAGACATAGCTTTATTTTTAATACAACCTTTAAATATAAAGTGAGCTTTAAAGTTAAAGGTTACTTCAGAAAACGGCCCTAAGGGCCTTATTCTGTATCACGAACGGTAGGCAAAAGGAACGATTCGTCTGCAGACGGCAAGCTCTCAGATTGCGATTTTAAACTCTATCGGTCGTCTTCGTCTTGCTTTTCATATATTACGTGGCAATGGTCTCGGTTGCGTTTAAACCGGCTAAAATGATGCCGCCGGACCAATTTTTGAAGCATTCCTCTGCAGACGAATCGTTCGTGTTGCCTATAGTTCGTGATACAGAATAAGGCTGTTAATTTCAGATAATAAAGTGCAAGTTAGAAATTGTGCATTTTCTTCGATATAAAAATACGAGTATTTTAGAACATAAGTATTTTGTGTGGATGAAAATGCAAGACGTCTCCAACCAAAAAAAAAATCAGAAAAATCGATATGCCATAGAAATATGAATGCCGTTTTTGAATTTTTCTGAAGTTGGTTTTTTGTGGAGCTTTGGTATTCGACGGATAAATATGTCACGAACATGACCTTAAGATAAATTTTCATAAATAAATAAATTCAAATGCCTAATTATGATTAGGTTCCGTGTTTTCTTTTATTACTTAGCAGAAAAACACACCAAGTTAGCACTATATACCAGTTTTTCTTAAAAAACGAGAGCTACAAATTTTTCCTTTCCACAACAAATTTACAACAAAAAATCTACAATTAATGCCGTTATAACATGTTCAATATCTCAATTCTATCGACTAGGTAGGTGTATGGTGTCATTTTTCTTAAAAAACGAAAGCTACAAATTTTTTCTTTCCACAAGAAATTTACAACAAAAAAGCTACAATTAATGCCGTTATAACCTTTTCAATATCTCAATTCTGTCGTCAATGGTGCATGGTGCCAAGTTAGCACTAC